GGAAAAATCTAGTTATTAATACCTTTTGATAAAAGTTTCTTTGCTACGTCAGTTTTAATCCTTTTTCATCTATTTTTGAATAAGATAACAATACAAGACAAAGAAAACTTAAGATAACACAACTTTGAAATACTTAAACAGAGAACGTTTCAAACACTTCAAAGTTGTATTCTTTTTCGTTTTTATAGTACACATACTTTGAGCAATCAACTGGGTTGGTTTCACCCTTCTGGTAAATCTTGTTGTTGTGTTTACAGCCACACTGATTCTTTTCCACACATGTTCCGTTCTCAAGGAGCAGTTGATCACCAGGACAGAAACATCCCCGCTTACACCGGGACTGTCGTGAGATGTCACTCATCAGGTAATTGTCGCATGTAAGACCGCAGTCTGAGTACACCTTTCCTTCCTTAGCGCACATTTCTACGAAAAAAAAATTGAAAAAATTGCGATTATTCAAATAGGGGTCGAAATAGAAATACTTTAAAAATGTTAAAACAGTAGCTCATAGTAAGTAATTATTGGTTGAGGTGGAGCATTGAGCTGAAGGCTGAGGCAGATAACACAGGCAGAATTATGTCAAGAAAGATGATCATGTTTAAAAAGGCAATTAAAGTAGCTATGAAGACAAAAAGATATAGTTTAATTACAAATCGGTGTAAAGCGAAATATGTTTTTTCGTCTTATGAGCGCGGGACAGAGAGAAAATTTTGAGTCCCCGAGAAAGAGTCCAACCTCAACCTTAGACCCCCCATGTATGATGAATTAAACGAATGCGTGTGAAAAATTTAGCCACAAGTTTTAAAAATTTGGAGTACTTACTATCACAGTCGTCATCTGTACACTCCCACTGTCCACCTCCTTTGCAAGTGCTAACAGCAAAAAGATATTAAAAATACAGATCAAGTATTACGTCCTAAAATCTTTGCCTATTGATTTATCACTACTTTATCTTATACTAGCTTCCAAAGCGCCTGCGCAGGCTACTCGTCTTTGATGGGAAGCTAGTCCATCATATGTGCTGGTATCCAGGCCCTTCCCAACACAGAATTCCCTCAGGTTTCTCTGACAGTTTGCAAATACTCATGCCCACTCCTGGGTGAAGTAAGACCCGATGAATGTTAGATGTCCTATCTTAAAAAAACAGTATGACCCAGCCAGGACGCAAGCCCGAACCTTTGAATACGGATTAAAATGCAAAAACCAAAGGGGCAACGAATCTCCTTCATAAAAAAGAATCATATTGATCTATTCACTTTTGAAATGATAAGTGCGCTGAACACAGCTTTTCAAGTAAAATTTGCAAACACAAAATTCCGACTCTGAACTTTTAACTTCATCATGCTGAGAAAGTAACGCGGTGATCGCACTCCTCTACTTCCTTCCTGCAAATCTTGGACATTTCACAGTACTCAGATGACTTCATTGGCGTACAAACGTTAACCTTGAAACTAAAACAATAACAATTAAACGTACCAAGTGTTGCATCGGACAAATCGTGTGGCTCCCTTCTCGTACTCTTTCCCTTCAAAGTAACAAGGACATTCCTCCTTTAGCACGCATTTATTGCTCCTCAGAACCTGATCCTCATTTTTACAGTAGCAAGCTTCTACGCAGCCACGTCTGGAAAAAATTGCAAATGTCAGGGTAGCTTACATTAGGAGTGTACGACGGTTATAGAGGTTCGAGGGTTTCCAACAAACGTCTGACACAGTGGAAATTAATGGGTGATTATAGTATTTTCTGTAAGAAGCGTCCGGGCGCTCATTCGAAATTTCGGGTAAAAGGAGGGATTGGAGGAGGTTATTGGAAGGAGGGAGCCTAATCGAGGGGGCGCCTATTAAGAAACTTTTGATTCAGCTGTAGTTGCGGCTTAAAAAGTTATAAATATAGTTGAAAGTGAGGGAGGAGGGGGCGCCTGTTTAATATATTGACCTAGGAGGGGGTTCTTATAACTGTGTCAGTATGTGTTGAGGGACAAAGTGACATACTACGAGTCCTTTAGCAAGGTACTTTTATTACTTCATCATATTAGTTACTTCAAAGTCTTAAGTTTCCTATCGGGTTGAAAGAGTTAGTAGAAGTGTACAAATGACATTACCTCCTGCAATCTCCGTCTTGGTCGGGATTTAGATCCTCGCAAGTCTGAGGACAAGCTAATGAGCCGTTGTTATGTCTATGACATTGCTCAAGCTTCATGTCTGCACCGCACTGGTAATCTAGAACATCATTTCGTGCTTTGTTTAGTAGATAAACAAAATTTGTGATGCAAAGAAATTTGTAAGGTAAGGGTTGACAGGTACAGCAAGAACTCAGACATATAAACGAAGTGTTAACTCTTTTGGGAACATGATATTGAGTGGGATTTTCTCATGATCTAATATATCAAAGAAAACTAAAGTAGAATTCCAATTTTTTAACCTCTTAGGAGAGAAAAATTGCAGTTTAATTTTGTGGAGGGCGAAAAAAGTTCGGAGTAAAGCAACTGTGTTTGAGTACGGGAAGCAATTCCAGTTTTGGTTGTTAATATCTGCAGTCTGGAGAAAACCGGGGTTCGATAAATTGGGAGTCTACTGAGTATACATGTGTACCTGTGCATCTGGATACGCCGTTTATCCGTCGTCTCTTGAGCGTTTTCGTTGCTCATTTTAGAAAAATATGTTGTGCTTTTTCCATTAAGTTTGGTTATTTGAAATACACCGAGAACTCTAGATTTCGTGTGACATGTATCCTATAAAACCCACCTTCCGCGCAGCTGGAAACTAAGTTTCTCCATCCGTTCACATCAATCCCCTTGTCCGCACAGGCCTTTGCATACCCTGCTATGACTTTACACAGGCATCCCTTGCATCGACATCCATCTTGAACACACTTTTCATAGTACTCCAACACACTCACCTCGCTGTGACAGGCAGCGAACGGAAGGGAAGTATTTTTTAATTTGAAACACTGATCAAGAGTCCACTGTTTGTTTTGTTGATAAATATTGCAGTAGTTAATCGAGCTTACCACGCTCTCTGTCTCGCATTTTTCATCGGAGAGATCTGGGATCAGCCATTCCTTGGCGAATTCGTCGATGGACACTATGTCGTCATTACTGCGCATGTGGAAGTCATCCTCTTTCATATCATTGAATGTACCACAAAGACCACATGTTTGGTCTTTTAACGTCGAGTTCACGGTCAAGTAAATGTTGTAGCCAGTCCAGTGGATAGAAAATGCCACTCCATTCTTTAAGATAAACATGAAATTGAAAAAGCGAATGAAAAGGAAGACAATACGACACTTGTTTTCTTGAAGCGTGATCAACCCCGTTTGTTTTCCCGTTAAATATGATTTACATTCAGAACTTGTGATGGCAATGGCCCAAGTTTGCATATGAAAAGGAAACAATATTTTATATCATCCCCTTAATCTCACGTAATAGAATTTTGCAAAGAGGGAAGTGGGACCTGAAGGACTTGATCTCTCAGGATCCATGACCAAACGAAATCATTGAGACGCGGACATTCTCTTCGAGCAATTTGGATAAGTTTAAAACTTTTGCTTGTTTCCTGAAGCCCAGCTCATCGATACCTACCCCAAGGTTGACACGAACAAAAATGTTTCGGTCACCAAGAAATTCGACATCCATCTTCTCGGCGGAGTAATCCGTTTTGACACTCGTCACGCTGCCACTTTGAGTCTCGATGGAAGCAGTCGGCTTACTGGTACCATCCTCGACGTCCAAAATCAAGAAAGGTTGGCCAGTGACATTCACTAGCACTTCCCGTTTACAATTTGCGTACATTGCTGTGCAGTTCCTGTTACGAATGGTAATGGAGTAACCCCGGCCTACTCCATTAGGCATGTGACACTGCTCTGACATTACATACGAGCATTCCTTCAAATGCATGGTGTACGTCTTGCCGTCAAAAGTTGTGACGTGAGGGTCGCCAATGACGGAGCAAGTTCCTAAGAGGCAAAAAAATTCATTTTTCACATTCGTGCAATGGGAGAGAACGCTGTCGAAAACAGTCCACGTAAAAGAGGTCTCCACCGGCTGATTTTGGGGGTTGAATAAAGTTAGGCTTTTGCCTAGTCCCTCTTCTGAATCTTGCACTGCGAACTGCAATCATGCTTGAGAGTCGCGATCAGTTAAGTTTTAAGAAGCTATGTGATGATCTGTGCATCAAAAAAATTTGACCCCAATTTCGGAAATTGAAATATTTGTTAATCTTCTGAAAACTTACATGTCCTTGTCCCTTCTATGTTTTGGTTTTGCTTTTTTTGGGGGGGGGGAGTTTTGCCTTTATTCGTTTCTTTGTTTTTCGCAAAAAAAAAAGGCTTTTGAGATCTGAATTTGGAGACTGCGAGTAGCTGACATTGCAGCTAAACTAGTGGAACTCTATTGCATATTCATTTTCATACTTGAATCCACTTAAGCAGCAGTTCTGCTTTCCTTCGCATATCATGTAGTTGTAAATAAATGCAGAGTGCGTTATTGTTCACAAAACCTGTAGCACCATATTTAACTGTTTTTTCAATCTAACGAACCTAGGTCCAAATATAAAATCGCGACTTAATTAAAAAGATTCTCTTCAATCGGCCCATTAGTCATTCATTTATTTAGTAAATCGCTTACTGTATTTATTTTTCAATTCATGTTTTTTTAACGGAGGCAGCACTTTGCTACATGACACCAAAGGTTTACAAATTACATGGTTCCTCTTAGGAACGAGAATTTTCTGAGTAGTTTACCTTCAAGCGGCTTGTAAATTCAGCCGCTATTTGAAAGGCCCTAATACGGATGTATGAAATGAGTTTGAATAGTACAGTGGGGAAAAAATAAATAAATTTTAAAAGATCTTAATCAATTATTCAGCAAATGGGAAAACAAGCTTACAGATGAACCACTGAGCTAAATTCATTTAAGACCTACCTGGACAGGGCTTCTTTGAACACAACCACTCTCCACCGTTACAAGTACTAAAAACAGACAGTTTAAATTCATCAATTTTGTGAATCAATTTGATGGCCCAAGCTGTAATTGTTCTAAAAGTGCTCTTATTTCCAGGCAACAATGTTTAGAATACAAAATTGTTGATGGGCCAAAGTTATGGGATCTAGGCCTTAGCAAAAAATCTCCGTAACAAATGAGGATAACTTCCGAAAACAACTTCCGAAAAAAAACAAAACAAAAAAACAAAGACAAATTTGATAAACGGCTCGATTACCATTTATCCAAATGCCATTTGTATCAAATCGCTACTTAACAATTTTTTCCCGATACTCAAGAACTTTTTTTGTTTATTCCTTGTTTCTTTCAGGTTATTTACAGTTAAAGGCCGTTTGATGTCTCTTGTGTACTATTTGAAGACTTCTTCATCGATCGACATCATCACTATTCACCAAAGTGGAGGTGGCTACAGAGCGACATTGAGATGACTAGTTGTTCTAGAATATATTAAAAGTGAAATGATATAGCACAAAAAGATGATTTCAACTCATTTATTCCTACCGTTTTATTTTATACTAATATGAAGGGTCAAAGAAGTGATGTTCGGGCCTTGCCAAGCCTGCTTCATAATAGGTAAACCTACAGTTGTGCATCCATTAATACTTAGCTGAAACAAGCTAATTACTGTGACAGAAAGCTGAGAGCGTCAGATTCAATTCACGAGCAAAAGATCAAACAAATTCAAGAGAATGTACCCTGATAATAATCGCGAGCAATTTCACTTGTCAGAGACTCACCATGTTTCACAAGGTTCCACTCTTTGCGCTCCATTAGGGTAGACTACTTTTCGATACATACAGGAGCACTTGCTTTTTTCAACACAAACATTGCCGTCCAGCCACTTTCCTTCAGGGCAATGACATCCGTCAGTGCAGGGCGAATTACAACCGGCATTTTTGCTGTTGAGATTTCGGCAATTCAGTGGGCACGACGATCCACATTCATTGTACACGAATCCAGCTGGGCACGTGATTGCTATGGAAAAACCGAGATTCTTTCTTCAGGAATAAGCTTTTACAACTTTCAAGGGTCTTGCAAACTTGAATTTAACAAATTATTTGCATTCACTTTGGCAGGAGAAGGATTTTTCGAGAGCTGTCTCGATCACAAACGGGTTTTCAAGGAGACTTCGCAGGAACTAAGACACGACATCTTAAAAAAAATTAGCCTTTTTTAGCGGGCGCCGATATTTTGATCAGTTTTACCTTTTTTATACCTCGCATCTTTGTTCGTAAGTGGTTCTTCCTTGCCCACTTTACGTTTTCTATCTTGCCGAACGAATAGTCTCCATGTTACAAGGCGCCAAATACTACTATAAAAATATAGCGTGAGCGCTCAGTAAATTTTTTCGATTCTATCGCATCCAAGCGATAATTGTTTTAACCCTTTACCTCCCGTAGGTGACCAAGAAAGACAATTATGGGATTACTAATTGATCCCAAACCAAATTCTCCAAACTAACATGATGATAATCGTTTGGCAGACAGTAAGGAGAGTTGCAAATGAGATCTTGGGAGTTAAAGGGTTAAACAATAAAATACGATCGTGATCGTCAGACAAATTACGAAAATCTCTCGTCAGCTTTTCTCCTTACACGGTCACTATTCTGCGAGAAGAAACTGTGTACTACAAATTATTTGAACCCACTAGTGTAGTCAGACGTCACAAAAAGCAAAACCAGTTTTCAGGACAATACGATCATAAGATTTTACTACCCTAATCTAACCATACTACCATTCCCAGATAGCGTTTTTCTGTTGTTTAAATTAAGTTCCAGTCACCTTTCACTGTAGTTTTTAGTTGCATTCCCGAAGTAGATTTCAATATTTTTAGGGGGGTCGTCTTGCTCTGACCAATAAGATCGTTTACTTACGACAACTATTCGGCGTCCTCCATCCTTTGACCGACGTACGGTGGAACCATGCGCAAACACGGGCGTAGAGGGCGAACGAGTCGCATTTCGCTTCGTCCCAGAATTGCTTGCTAGTTTCGTACAAGTCCGACATGCACACTCCCATAAAAGGCCGGTAATCGGTAGAATTATGGCACGGCCCGAAAGGGCCGAACATGTCCCCCAACAAACTACACTTTTCCTCGATTTCGCGTATGTCACTGGCTGTTCTATTGGGGGGCTTGCTATTCTGACTGTTACCGCAACTGACGTCCTGTTTGAAGCTGTCCGCGAAGTCTTTGATATCCTCTTTCCCCCTTACATTGCCTTCGATGTCAGTAAAGTCGTTCGTACGGTTCGCGTCAAAAAGACCGCACAGACCCACCAACTTATGCTCCTTAGAGTGCTTATAGCTATCCGGAACTTTGATAATGACATCTTGTACACCGTCCCACAGAATGTTGATGTGATCTTGCGATTTCACCAAAACATAACGGCCGCTCTGTAAAAGGAAAAAAAAGGAGGCTGTTTCAGCAACAGAGCGAAAATTAAGTACAAGGGCAACTTACTGCAGTAAGAATGACTTTTTGAAAAAAAATCTAAATATACTCTTGAAGCTGAAAAGACTGTTATAAAAAAAAAAGTTGGTTAACGCATTCACTTTTATATTAAAGCGGCCATCACTTTAGGTGAACCCTGTGACAGAAATCACCGAAATTGGAAACTCTAGTTTGTGACAATCTTCAGTAAATCAAGCAATCACGATCAAAACCAGAATCGACACATACATAGCGAGGAAAACGAAAAAACATTAGCATCATTCGTACTACAACAAACATTAACAACCACAATCCTTTTTCGACTGCACCCACCTTTTTGACATAAGGCCACGAATCCGTATATGGAAGATCAACCGATTTATCATTGACTTTCACGATAAACGTAGTGTTGGTCTTAGCTCCAAGGTATACTTTCGCACCATCTAAAATCAAGTCCAGAGATTTCTGACAAGGATAAATCATTTCGCAACCCGAATTCCCGTTCAGGACCACCTTAAACTCCTCCGGATTTTCTTTGTCCAAGACAAGCATTTGTGAACAATTTTCCTGAAAGAATCTGTAGGGCGTGTTATCAAACGTGTTGAAATGATCTCTCCCAGTGACAAAGCAAGTTCCAGTTGCTGAAAAAATATGGACATAGAAATCATGAGAGCTATTAAAGACATACCTGTTATTCAACAAACGAAATGTCATGATGTTACAAGTATTAACCAAGTTTCTATATTTTTATGGACTAAGGTGTAGTCGACGTTCCAAAAAAACCCCACAATGAAACATACCAATAATCATTACTTGGAAATCGTATTCATTCAATATGATGAGAGAAACTGTTGGGTTAGCTACGAACGTCGAAAAGAAACCTCCGAGAGAACGGAATGCATAAAAAAGCGCTTTGAAGAATTAAAAAATAGCTCACGGCCAACAGTCTCTGAGCAATAGGAGTTGGTGATAAGTCTTGCGAGAACAAAGCGAAAATTGTAGCTAGGGGTTTAAAAGAATTTTCCCGAAGGCGGCCACAATTGGGGTAATAGGTGGCCGTGCCGGGAAAGTGGCCACGAGGCGGACTCCAAACACGAGAGCCTGCTGCTAAACAGACTGTGCTGAGAGGTTTTATAGGTGGCACCCATAACTTGCTATTCATTGAAATCGTACCCTACGGGTAGGTAAAAGGCAGGTAGGTACCTGGCAGTTCACTTCTACTTTAAAACCCGTGTTATGACCCTGAAAGCATTGGGGCAATTTGCGTAGCTGGAAATAATCATCTGGGTGGTGACAGCAAATCAGAACTTTGCACTCAACAAATGAAGACAAAAGTACAAGGGCCGAAAGCCCATAAGGTAATCACAGGTGCACCAGAGCGTGATAGAATTTAAACTTGTAAATAATGGTGCCTTCTATTAGTTATCAAAGACTGTAAACAAATTTGAATAAGTGGCATTGGTGCAGAAGGTTTACCATTTGGTGGAATGACTCACATCATGTCAAGCCACTGAAACGTAGTTTGAATTACTGAAGCGTGTGACAAAATTAATCCCAGCAAGCATCTTTGCCATTTAGCAGTTGAAACTTACAGAAATTACGTTTAGGATAATTACTCAAAAAAGGTAAACTTACTGTTTATGAATGGCAATTTTGAAGCAGTGCCTGTAGAGATAAATGATAAAATATTGTAAGAAAAATATGAGCAATGGCACAAGAACTGATGGTTAAAAGCAAATATAAAGTAAAACAGTGGAGCAAAAACAAGAAAATGCAACAACCGCATGCGCAAACAAACTTTAACAGCAACATCTAGCGCAAACATATAGACAGAGGAAATGGAGGGAATACACAAACGATTTCAATCACATAAGGGGTAAATACAATGATGTGAGACAGAAGAATACACGTTTATTTGCAGTGTCTCTACTGCTGGCGGAGTCATTCGAACACGATCAACCACTCACATTACATAAAACAGACAAGGATTCCAAATAAATTTATTCCTTTGACTAAAGACTTTAAAAGTTTCAATAATTTTCTTCGTATTTTTGAAACGAAAATTAATGATGAAAAGAGGTGAGAATCATATGTAGAACTACTCACGGATGCATTTGTCCTCACAGCTCTTCATGCTACCAAAGTTATTCGCATTTCCTAGACAGCCAAGTGTCGAGAAATTCTTGCACGTATTAGACTCAGCGTCGTAGTAAACCGACTGGTTTCCACGCGGAATTCTGCTTTTTGAATATCCCGAACTCTCGGGATCCCAAATCTTTCTACATACCTCATCTGTTTCGTCGGGAACTGCCAAAAAAAGGAAAGGAATGAATATTTATAACCTTGGTAACTACCCTTTATAAGAGCCTTTTTTTTCCGATTTAGGATTTTCGGGTACGTGCGCACAGTACATTATGGTTGACTATGATCCTTTAAGTGTGTTCCGAGAATTAAGTTAGAGAGCATCACTGACTGTTTCACTCCTTATGTCGATGGGAAGCAATCATACAACTTACGGCAGTATTTCTCGCATTCAATTTGATTGAATAATGTCTTTAATGAAGGGCACTGATTATTGACTTCCTCAAGGTATTTCAAACACGCTTTTTGGGTTGCAGCATCGGTCTTCCAGCCCAGAGCATCTGCGTCACTCAAGGCAAAAGTTTCGGCGAGAAAGTAGGAGCTTGCACCTTCGTCTACGTCCATCTCACAGGGATTCACTATAAGAAATTAACAAAAGACAACTTAAAGATTTAAAGATTCAAAACTGTAGTAAAAAATAGTGCAATGTTATATAGAGCTGAATTGAGGATCGAACTTTAACCAGGTAGGTACAAACATGCCTATCGAAATAAACGAGTTTCTTGCACTTCAACCAGTTTCCCAGATTTCAATTTGATTTCCCATTGGCTAATGATGGTGTAAACCTTTCTTCGGATTGGCCGTTGTGATTACAATGGATTGTTTTCTCGACACTCAATTGAAAACCGTTCTATTTGGGTATGTCCGTAGGTACCTGGTGACAGATAGGTAGGTTTAGGAAATTGGTGGATAAGTAGGTAAAGAGGTAAGACGGTGGGTAGGCAAGTAAGTGGATAGGAAGGAATTTACTCCCTTCAGAATAAATATCAGGAGGTTCTGTCCCACGGGCTTCTTTTGGAATCGTATTCCTATATCTATACGGGAGAATCCCACTAGAGAACTGTTTAAAGGACCACTTTACATGGATAACTTTTCTTAGTATCATTTACTGTCAAACTTAAAGCTTGCACGATTTATTTATCTGTTGTTTAAGGTGTGATTCCTCTTCTCTTTCCTCATATTTGTATTGTTTTGTTTAAATATGGAAAAATTTAATTTAACTGAAAAGGCGTCTTATGAGCTAAGTCTATGATGCCCTTCTCCATTCTCTCTTCCTTTAATCATTAAAAAGGCTTGTAAAGGAGGGTGGGTGGGTGAGTGAGTGATGGGGTGGAATGGTAACGAGGTAGATGTGTGGGTAACTTACCTTGGTCACACGCGGCACCGAAGTATCCCTGCTTGCATGTACACTTCATTTTACCCTCAGCGACGTTATAGGCGCAAATTCCGCCAACACCACAATCAGGATTACAATATGCTAGTTGGAAAACAATAGTGTATTGTTACCGAAAGAAAACAAAAAAAATTGTGCCTTGTTTGACCCAAAAGTTTTAGAATTAGAACGGAGTCCGACGGAACGGAAAACAACTGAGGCACCCTGCTGAGAAGAATTTGGTTAAGATTTTTTGTAAGGCGAAATACCGGGTTCAAGTCTCATAACTTCCTGGATATTGTGGGCTTTGCATTCTCTATTTACATACTCTCCTGAAGGTTTCACCCCGCTTGACTTTTTAAATAAATAAGCCACATCTAGCGTAACAAAAAGTAATCTTTGATTTCACATCTGTAATGAAAGTTTCACTTACACGCCTCGCAGTTAGTTTTGTCGTTATATCCATTTGGGCAAATACATTTGTTTGGTTGGCTTCCGCAGGTTCCCCCGTTCTTACAGTACGGAATACAAGTAGCTGCCAGGTGACAACGTACAAAGAAATTAGTCAACTAAAATTCTAAAAGAAAGGCATAAGGCATAAATGGTTGTCTCTTTTAATATAATAGTAGAAGTTGAAAGTTGACAAATATAATTACAACATGAAGCATTGGAATTTCTGTGCTCCAAAACAGTTAAAGCACCTTGTGGAACATCTAATATATTGCCTAAAGGGGGAAAGTTGCTTAAGAAACTGAAATGCTACGTCGGTGGGAGAGTATAACAGAGTAATTTAGTATTGTCAACTGAGTTGATAACGTAAATTGGCCACCGTAAAGAGTTTAAAAGCCAATATACATACTCCCTGTCTGTTTCACCCCTTGTTGTTTTTTTGTTTATTTGTTTGTTTATTTATTTCCTTCTTACACGACCTACCCAGTCACAAGTCCCGTAGGGCTCAGTGGTGTAGCATCCGAGGTACTAATCGGAAGGTCGTAAGTTCAACTCCGATTGGGAGCACTCAGTGTTCTTTTTCAGCGACTATGCCTGTGTCATTTACTGAATAACATCATCTTTCACTTACATACATCTCTTCGCTCGTTTGTTTGTTATGGGATCAAAAACGAAACCTTTAAAATTCCTCTAATAAAGATCAGCAAAGAATAAATGAAAAAATTTTTGTCTTACCTTTGGTACAAAGTTCTCCTGCCCAGCCATTAATACAAACACATGTATCGTTCACACATGCTGCCCCATTTGCACAGACCTTCGTACACGCAACTGTGAAAGGAAGTTTTACACTGAATCTTTATAAACTGGTTTAACTAAACTTTACGATGTCAAAAGAAATAAAATGCATTTTAATTGAAGAAAAACCTTAAAATATCACGACTGAAAACTAAAAATAACACGACTAAAAATATCCACTACAAGATGCTCAAGGGAGATTAGGAGATAAAGTTATTTCCATGATAACTACATATATATGAACGCGGTTGAAGTAAACACCAAAATTTAACCTGAGAGCATGTTTCACAGAGTCTGGCTACGAAAGGAAATGTTCTTAGTTTTTCCTTCGATAAAAGGCGAGTGCTTCTGACGCTCTTTACAGCTTAAGATCGAAATACTTTCCTTATTTCTGCCAAACATTTTTTCCAGATTTATTTCTGAAATTCTGATGTTCAGTAATATCTTTCTAGATGTTTATCAGCTGTCAGTTTGAAAACGTAATCAGTTGATGTTGACGAAAAATTTCCTCCTGGTCACTCCTAAGGGGGGGGGGGCAGCGTGGCCGAATTGTTGATGCACTGGACTTGTAATCTGGTGACTCATTGGATTCCTGCACTGTATAAAAAGCCAACTGGACTACGCCTGCCAGTTGGGATTTGCAAGAACTTTATGTTTATTTCAGTCATTGTAAAGTGCTACAGGGTAGTGATAAAAATAGTGCTTGGCAAAGTGTTATTATTATCATTATTATTATTATTGTTATTATTATTATTATTATTATTATTATTACTATTATTGAAATACCGGTGTCCTACAGCTCTTGAAAGATATATTACTTACTATTTTGACAACGGTCTCCTTCCCAGCCTGAAGGGCATTTGCACTTTCCATTTTCACAGCTACCACCGTTTAAACACTCGGGCGAGCAGACCTCTGAAACAATGAAAAAAATATCATCTCTCTTTCATTTTTTACTTTCATTATTGCTTATCGTAATAGTGAGCATTTAAACGTTACTACATAATCGTTCATACGTTCTCTTCTCCGGTGGCAACTTCACGAAATATGAATGGAACTTTTGATGTAATAGGACATTTAAGATTTCCACACTTAATTTTAATGAGCTACTTTTACAAAGCTCCCTACTCAAACCCACCTTCTCTGCAACTTCTTCCGCGCCACCCATCAGGACAGACGCACGTTTTGTTAACACACGTTCCGCCGTTAGCGCACATTGGAATGCAAAGATTGCTGTCGTCATTCTGGTAGCTTGACCTTCTTCCCGGACCGTATACGTCATCTGCAAGGCAAAGTTGATACTATTAGCTTCACTGCGAATTTTACAGTTGAATTTACGCTGGTAAAATGACGATGGATCTTGTAGAATCTTAGACTGAGGGGAAAATTTTATGGCGTGGTTAAAATTAGAGTTTATTTCCAAAAGAGCTTGAGATTCATGAAATGGTTTTATAATTACCTTTTAGGAGACTGTTCTTTTTTTCTTTTTTTTGGGCTTGGTTTACAAAAAAGTGAACTTCTACTAAATTGTTTACTTTTATTTTTATTCATCTAAAAACCTACTAAAGCATTTTGATGAAGAATGAACGTTAAACCGTGATCGATTTCGGGAAGATTATCCTCTCCCAAAAATTAGTTCTATAATCACATGGTTTAAATCTCTGACGTCAAAAAGCCAATGGCAACCAAGAAGACTTGGGTTGCTACGCTCGCGTTACCACAAAAGAAAAAATTTAATTTTTCAATTTTATGATTTCATTTACCTTTCCAAAATAACCAATCGAAAATCAACCGTGATTTCAGGATAGTAAATATTTAAAGCTAAATAGTTTAATTTGGATAAAACTTGACTCTAGAATTGGGTTACAAATGAAAGTAATCGTGGGATTTGCTTCTGGGAAGTGGAAATTCGTTTTCGTGAAAGATGACCCCATTCAAAAATTTCTATTAAAATTGGTGTCTTAACGTCCCTCTTCACACATTTTCGACACCATTTGAGTGTTAAGAATCCATCAAAAATCACACGCATAAACATGCATAAACTTGGTTTTTTAATTTTTTTTTGTTTTAGGAAAATCGAAGAAGTCAATCTTTTGTTGAATTTTTCCTGTCATTCAGTTAAATTTTCTAATTACGAAACGTCTTTTTTCGCAATGCTGAAATATTCTAACTGCTACAAATTCGGTATCCAAATGGTTCGGCAAAGATAAATTACCCTTTAATTCGTACAATTTTCGCTGAAGAATGCGTAATATTTTGTGAAAACATTGCTGAAAGGTGTGGGAAATACGGCATTTCTAAATCAAGCAAATCCTGGCATGAGAAAACCCTCGCCAGGAGCTTTGAGAGTTGCATAACACAAATTCAAAGATTTTTAAAAATGATAAAATTGGTTCACGAGGACATAAAGAAAGTGAAGGGAGTTACTTACATCGGAACGATCTTTGATTTCTCTCCAAGGCGGCAACATTGTCTACTTCGGCTTCATAAGTTTGTGGCAAATCATCTCTATAATGTAAAGATAAATTCCATTCGTGATGGTTACATGACAAAGTATATCTTTTCCTCTCAAAGATCACCCAACTAGAACTTGGGTTTTAAATACATAGTAAACCAAACCATATGGATGCCCCTACGTTTTGTCAAAAGTAAGCAATTTGGACACATATAATAAACGGAAAATATTTCATTATTTTTTTGATAATCCTCCATAATTGTCCCGCTTGTTCCTTTTGAAAAAGCTTTTATTTTCCAGCTTATTGGTGAAGAGAACATAAAAGACGTTCATTAATTCGTTGACGTTATGTTTTAGTGCGCAACCATTCACAGAGGAGGCCACAACCATTCACAGAGGAGGCCACCCATAAGATGAGATGTTAAAGCCTCTTTTTGATCGTTCCAATTAATTCTTAAAATATTGCAGTATTAAACATATAAAATTCCCGAAAACCCGACCAGAAAATCTTCTTTGCCGCAGTATATAAGTCAGAACGCATAAACTGAAAATATAAGGCTCGAAATTCTTTTCTAAAATTAAAACTAATGGAGGTTAATGGCAAAGCTAAAGGTATTTCCGCTGCCTTTTAAAGATTTAAACTGCTGATTCCAATTTGTTTTCTTCATCTGTACTCTCTCGGGTTCGCACCTTCCTCTGATACAATTTTTTCAAGCGAACTCTGATATGTCTCACCGTCTTAACTAGCTGTAATTCTCCTAAGATAATCTCTGGCAAATTTAGTTTCAAACTTGACAAACCGTTTTTTTTTTTTCTGAAACACAAACACGTTTACCTTAATCCATCCGCAAGTCCAACTGCGAGAAATAAAGCTAGGAATTTGAAGAAAGTCACCGGGCGAAATCGCTGTTTTTCACGCATTCTCTAATGAATATTTTCTTTTTGTTGTGCCCCCTTGAGTAAGAAATGTTCTTTTCTTTACTTTTTTTGGTTTTTAGTTTGAATTTCCTTAGGCCTAGTTCGGGGGCTGAAATCGTACGGCCTGTAATGGTGTTGATGGTTTTTGCTAAAGTAAATTTAACTCCTATTGCTCCCTTGCTCCACCAATGAGGTTTGGGATGTGATCAATAAATGTTTTTCAAAGAATTTCCCTAGTCATGGTGATCAGCAATCTTCGACACCTTGGCTCAAAAACATTAGAAAAAGCACAAAATGAGCGGTAACCGTAGAGATCTTAGCATTGTACTCGTAAATACTGTCATAGAAGCCACTATTCTGGAAGATTTCCTCCTCCTTCACGCAGACTTCAAAACATCGATTAAATAAATATAAAGAGTAATTCATTTTGCTAATTAGACTTGGGAGAAAAATTCGAAATAAACACTCAGAAAATCTAAAATGTAAAAAAATTCGAGTCTGAAAAGCTCTTCTGATGATAAGAACCATCCCCTCAAGAAATTTTATGGGAAGAAAACTTCACAACCTACATCACGATCGCAAGAAAGAGTTTAACATCAATGCAACCGTGAAGAAGGTTATGGAAACTCTTTAATTCATCTTTTAAGCCACATTTCCAAATTTTAAGCCTCTTAAACTTAATTCCTTCAATTTTTCTTCTTAAAACTCAAGGTTCAATATCGGTTTGACCACTGAAAATTCCCAAAACGCCTCGGATTTTATTTTCTAACATGGATTCTGACTTAACATGGCCGATGAAAAGTTTCCCTTGAAAGAATTGATAGATTTACTCCAACTCTGTAATTGTAATGGAAAGTAAAAGCTTCAGTTTAGACTAAAAAAATTTTCTACTTATCTTTCGTGGGATTTTATTCGCTTACAGCTGAGTGGAGACAAGTGGGGGACGGTAAGGAAAAAGCTCAGTCTGTTTGTTTAATCAGAACTTTCTTTAAAAAATATCACTTCTAATACCGTTTCTCATAAAAGTATTTTTGTCTTCTCTCTACAAGTAGCTATCAACCTGTACTTAGAAACAAGCTTTTCACCATGTCAGTTTGGGATAAGTCTCCAAATGTATACAACCTTAAGGAAACACAGACAATTTTGTGATTTTTAAAATATATGTTTTTTTATCGATTAATACGGACAGCCATCATATCTCAAAGAGCACAGCGGAAACATGGATTGAACTAGTATTAGCCAGAAAGATAAAAGTTAGGCTCTGTGTAAATATTTTGGTCAAATCTAAGTGTCAAGATTAACCACACCGGCGGTGTTTCGGAAATCTCAAGGAGGACTCCATTCTTTATTCACCATTGTTGGTTTCGTCGTATCTTTGAGCAAAACGTTTACATAAGGGGCACGCAAACCCGGTTAGCGAGACATTAGAGTTTTTGGCCCTGAGATCTCATTAATGGGGCTGGTAATGTTCGCATATGAACATTTCGTGTCGGTTGCCGAGATAATACTTGAAAATTGCGACTCGTTCATCACGATATACTATAACTAAAATTTATCTTATGGACATTAACGGGGCTGCAATCCATATCCCATTGGAAGAAATCAAAATTTTCCCTCTAACCAAGTTTGTATGAACATGTCCCGAGTTCCTTTTTACAAAACACCGATTGGTTGCGGAAAGCAAGACGAAAACTCCCGGGTTACTCTCTCCCAAGTTAGAAGGGGAAGGAAGGTGTGAAGGAAAGAAGCCAGGAAGGAAGGAAGAAGAAGCGTTTAACAAGGGGAAGAAACCCCTGGATATTTCAATGCTAACTACCTCAAATTTAGTGTCACCAAGACTCAGTAAAAGCGCTACGATGCGAAATGATAATCCTTGTGAAAAAAGTTCCTCTTTTAGCCTAAAGGGGTAAAACAAATATTTCGGATAAAAATCTCGTTTCCCCACATATTTGCAAAGAACTCGCTACATATGGGAAGCACGTGCAATCTGTGCTTCATTCACGCGGTCATACTGATCGTTGTCCTTGTTGCTATATAGAACTGCTTAATATGGGTTGGTCCGATCTTCACGTCGAATACACGTGCAAAGCACTCTTTAGTCATATGACAAGAACTCAGAGTCCGAGCCGAGGCTTTCCGGTCGATGAACCGTGCGTGGGCGCAAAGCTTGATCTGTTTGACGTAATGTTTTTCCATGCTTTCTAGTCAAGAGCCGTTACATGGTAATCAGACTGATATAATGATGTCATTTCTCGCTGTGCTTCAATTAATAATATATTAATCTTACTATGGCACAGAAAGAAAAGCAGCACTCTTGATAGCTTCAAATTGAGAAACCTCAGGCGCCAAGGGGTTTTCAGGTTCGCAGGCATAGTGGAACCTGTTCATCTTTAACTATTAGCCATTTGATCTGTCGAAAAAGAGTCGACTTCTAACTTTATTTTCAATGTACCTTTGTACTGACTCAGAGGCGGCGGAGCGTTTTTAAAACGCGAGGGGGGGGGATCTTGGCTTTCACCCAGCCATGTGCGCATACCCCTACTCAAAATACTCTTTGCGTTGTTCGTTGGAACAGGCAAACATTTTTGCAATCCTCAAATTTTCGCGTGTGTCCGTGGTCGAATTGTGACTTTCATTTTTTTGGCATAATCTAAAATCGTTCAGCTCAGCATTCCATTAGGTTCCTGCAGACAACATTGACTCTTATATAACTACCTAGACACGTGGTCTAGTTTCATGAAGAATTGCTGCAATTGATAAGCGAACACAGGCCGGAGCCGTTCAAGAGATAGTTTTACATCATATTTTGCCAAGCGCGATGCTAATATAACAATTTGTGAAAAGATCACGAGATTCAAGATTTTGCCAATTTTCATGCTGTATTAGCGATGTTTTCGGCTAACCCCTGCTCCGCCCCCTAGCTGGAATGCTTATCCATTGCACAGAACCAGCGCCTCCGCATTTTGTTAGGTTGTCTCGAGAATTCATCTGTACCCAATCGTACCTTATGGCAGTGATAGTAAAGTGACTCGCCTGGAAATCACCAACCAAGACGAACGAGATTATTCAACGAGAAAGCTATTATGCTTAGCTTTGTCTACTTACTTTCAATTTTAAACAAGATCACCATAACGAATCATGAAAATTCTACTCACCTCAGTTTTTTCTCTCTCTTCCCTTTCCATTTAAGCGTAAATCATTACATTCCTAAAGTTTGTGACGTCTTCCAGGAAATCACCGCGCCCTATGATTACAAAAAACTTGGAAGGAGTCAAATTATGAACCAGATGGACTCACTTAACTTTGAAAATATTCTGAAGAGATTTTTCTTTCATTTCGTTTCAAAACTTGACAACTTTTAAAAGAGCGCAATCAAATAGGAAATTCCGTAAAGAAGGATGTGAAATTCATCTGTCACGAGCGAAGGCAAAGTAAAGTAAGAAACAACTGTTTTCCATTACAAATACAATACGTCTTCAGCCGTTGGCCTCTGATGTTAAGAGAAGTAAAACAAAATGGAAAATTCAATTCGTTTTCCATGTATCAGGTACGTCTGTGCCAATAAGGAACTCAATAACTTTCGTCCATTCGCTCCAGCGATGGGCTAACGCTCGAGACGTCAGCTTTAAAACTCTTTAGAGTGGCCAATTTACGTTATCAACTCAGTTGATAATACTTAATTACCCTATCGGAGCCAAGGTCGACATCACAGTTAGCAAAGAAAAACTTAAAAAAAAAAAGGCAAACTGCATAAAAGACGGGAAACGCGAATGTCCAAGTCACGATTGGTTTAATTTTTTAATCTGATTGGTTGAGAAGGTGATGCGAGTTTTTTGGGCCAATCAGGGAGCAAAGCTAAGCAAACCCAAAGCAATAAATTATTACTTTCCACAATCAGTTGGAAATAACTCTAAAACTTAAATTTTATCCATGCCAACACCCTTTTTGTGGACGACATACAAATAATGCTGAAAGCTTGAACGTGTGTCCAGTTCTCGCCAGGACAAACGTAACGTCAAAGAGTTAAGCGCTGTAGAGTGCGATTGAGCTAAGTCATTTTTGAATTTTTCCAATGCGTCCAAACGCAGTTCCGATGGTTCATCCGAGAACTGAATCAGCTTTCCACAGGGTTTCAAGACACGCAAACACTCACGTAACACTTCTGCAAATGCGCCCTCTCCTTTAGGTCCTTTTAGAACTGCATCGGAAGTACCCTTATCTAGAGCCAAAGAAAATGTTTCATCCGCGAAAGGCATATTCTTTGCATCAGCTTGATGGTATGCCAGGCCAGTCAAATCAAGACTAGATTCCAGTTTTCCCTCTGTCTCGACAATCTCCTTTGCAACTAAGCCACGTTCTTCAACAATTTTTCTTAAAGTTTTTATCGCTTCATGTGAAAAGTCGATGCAATCAATGCGACAGTCACGATTTAAGTGTTCAAAGAGCTTCAAGCTGAAATCTGAGGTTCCGCAACCAATCTCCAAGATTCTTGTGACAAAACTGTGACTGACAGGGGGTAGGTAAGGCTTAAGAACTTCAACGGAATCTTCAAACCGCACAAACCAATCAAAGTGTTTGTTACCTTGACGGCTGGCATAAAAGTTGTTCCAGTATGATTGATCAGACATGTCTCCAAAACATCGTAATGCAAACAAACCTGCTGAAAACAAACCACCAATGCAATTAAACTTTCACACAAGTGCTTTCCTCCATTTTAACTAAAATAATTGTACACATTCTACACATACATGTAAGTAAGATAAAGTCAGTATATGAGCCTATTGGCCCACACAGCCAGAGTTTGTACTTGTTTCATGTAGCATAAAGTATCAAGGAGTATTACCACTCCCTACTGAATGGGATGTTAGTTCATCACAAGGTTACCCCCCCTCCCCCTGGCATTTCATCAGGCTTCCCTGACAATTTGCGAGTTCCCATCTCAACTCCTGAGTAGAGAGAGGCACCAAGAGAGTAAACTGTCTAGTTCAAGAACACAACACAATGATCTGCCAGGTCTTGAACCCACACCTCTTGAAGCAGAGTCCGGTCCACTGACAATCAGGAGAATTTGTCTCCGACACTACATGTAAAGTAAAGTAGGAGACGAGTGACCAGGACAGAATTTCTCCTTACAATATCAATACAATATATGCAGACAAGTAATAAGAATAAAGAATAAATATCAATCAGGGGATCATAGGCTGATCCAGTACCAAATTCTCCAAACTAATATCACAAGAACTGTGAGACAGACCGTGAGAAGAATTACTAATAAGATCCTGGGAGTTAAAGGGTTAAAGGAAAAAAGACTTTGATGAAAACTTGCCAATATGATAGAAAGACTGCACAGAAACATGGGAATTAAAACTGACCCAACTAAAAAGTTTTTAATAAAAAAAAAAGAGACCTGGCAGTTCCAAGCTTCCTTTCCTGATAGAAAAAGTCAGCACAGAGAATGTGGGATCTGAGTTGGAACTGTAGAATGTGGGATCTGAGTTGGAACTGCTCATCAAGAAGATGTTAACTTTGTTTTGTTTTGTGTAGGTGTGTGTGTGTTGGCAGTTTCAAGAAAACAGGAGGCTCTTTAAAGAAATAGGGATTCTACTGTGGCTGTCAAGTTGATCTTGAAAGGTTTTTGTTGTTATCATTTCACTTCTTGGATTTCCTGAAAGTCTAATCTCTTGTCAAAAAAATGTTCAAATCATTTGCATGAGTAAAGTTGGTTTATAGGGAAGGGTCATCAGCATGCTAAAAGGAGAACAATCTTTTCCTGAAAAAATTCACCCAAGTCATAGTCTCCAACATAAAATCTAATGAAATCACTCAAGAAAGTTTAAAGTCACAATATTTAAGAAACTCAATTTCTACATCAGTGAAAGACTACGCATATTGAGGCAGCTTCTTCCACAGCTTTTTGACCAGAAGTTGAACTACAAAGACAAATACCTAGGGTCTCCTCTCCCCCTCAAGCTTAACATTGATAGGTACTTAACTATGCAATGTCACAGAGTCAAGTAACAGCCATTTCCCAGTATTGACCAATGACCATGACTAGTAAGTATCAAACGGTAATTGTTCAAAATAATTTTAAAACCCGCCCAGCGTTTTGTCCATTCCTGCAAATCATTCGTGTCACAAACGATGTGTCACGTCATTTGGTCACGCCAAGAAATTGTATTTTTAATTTTGTTCACCTCCTTTGTAAATTAAGCCTCACCTTTTTCCATGTCATTTAAATCAATTTTTGTTCTAGTTCCTGAAACAAAAAATCTTCTCCAGTGTGCGAGCAGACTCATTCCCACCTCCGCAACAATAGAGATCTGGGATGAGATCGCGGCGAAGGGCGAAAAAACCTTGAGCTAGAGGTATTTTACTTACAAATGGCAATTGAAGTGAGACGCTTTGGAAGGCTCTTAAAAGAATAACAATGTTTCCTATTGATATATCTAGTTCAGATGCTGTGTTTATGAATAATTTGCCTTTCGATTGCTACCACTTAAATGTTTGCGCTGTTGGCTGATTCGACCACGTTGTTGACCACATTACGGCGTCACGCATGTCAGCAGTCCAAACCAAATGTTTGTGCGCTGCACATCTTAACTGTTATGGCGGATGGGAGTTTCAAGAAGTAAACTTAAAATTTTGAGGAACATGGCGTGGAGATCACACGGGGAAAGTAACAGTGACCTGCTCGATCAGCTCAAAAGTACGGAGATATATGATTTATTTTGCTTGGTGTTGAATTTAACTTTTTTTCTTCCCTTGATTTTAGTCCATGAAGTGTTGAAAAGCAAAAGGGTCGAAGAGGCTCTGAGACGAGTTGACAGGAAACATTATTGTCGAAATCGAGCATTTGAAGATTCTCCACAACCAATAGGTTGGTATGATTATTTGCCACGTTAATCGACTGGAAAGAGATGTGTTTATGAATTCTGATTTTCAACGTATTTGTAACGACGCAAATATAGTAGTGAAACCTGTGGAAAATCATTTGTTTATGTTGTGTTTTACGTGACGAGTTGGATAGATTTTCCAACAGTTTGCTAGATTGCATTCGTTCTACACAACTAGAGAGAGAGAGAGTTAGAGTAGAAAAATAAACACATACACAAAGGGGTTGGATTCTGAACAGAAAATGAAAAATTTAACGTTGACTGTATGACTCATTTTGCTCTTGTTTTGTAGGTTATCAAGCAACAATTAGTGCACCACACATGGTAAATAGTGTGTGAATAAAATAGTAATGTCAGAGCCTGCAGTGCACTCTGCAACATAAATAGGAGAATATGGTAACCCATCCACCTGTTGAAATTTGGTTAAGGCATTGTAGCAATGTAGGTCTATATCAATCAAGTAAACCAGACTTTAACACTGGTAAAGTGTCTGAATTCAAACCTCAAACTAAATCATTTGAGATAAGCTATCAACAGCCTGAATTTGAACACTTGGAAGACTGTTAAATTGGACTATCAACTGTAATGTTCTATTTACTGATGGTTTTTTTTCTTCCATAAATGCTCTTACAGTTTGATTTATCACTGGCATAGTAGTAGGAAGTTCAGTTTTGTCTGTAATAATACAATATTATTCCAAAAATGATCAGCAATCATCATGGCTTTGTTTCAAATTTTGCTTCCTTTGATTTCTGAGTGATCAATAATAACATATATGTAAGAACAATGATCAGAAACTTATGTAGTTTTGTGAAAAAGGTGTATAGATAGTCATGACCAACAAATGAGATAGCTACTTCTTGGGTATCTAGTGTTTTTAAATCAACTGATAGTTACCAGCCAGACAAAGTTGGAGCTAGGTTCGGTTACTGATATTTCTACTTACTGCAAGTTACATGTAATGTTGTTACAGCATGTGTATGCACTACAACAACTTGAGGGTCATCTCAAAGAGGGTGCTTGTGCTTTAGATGTTGGTTCAGGGAGTGGCTATCTCACAGCTGCTATGGCTTATATGGTGAGTACCAATTAGTAATAACATGCTCATGTATAGCAAGAAATTGAGAATTTACTATTGTCCATCATTTTTATCTATTTGTGAAACATTACCTCCATTATTATCTGTATCACTATCATTATTATATCAGTACTCTAGAACTGTGACTGTGGTAGTAAATTGGCAATAGAGACAACAAGACAACTTGGTTTAATCAACTCAGTTAATAATGTAAATTTTCCTCCATAAGGAGGTTCTAAAGCTGACGTGTCGGTGTTGGCCCTAGGTTAGATCTCATTCCTTCCCATTTTTGTAAATAAGTAAATCAACTTTATTTGACAAGAGTATCACTTAACAGTTATTCAACTGCAAAACTAGTGGTCTGAATCCTTTGAAACTTCAGGTTGGAGAAAGTGGAAAGGTTTATGGAATTGATCATATTGATCAGCTTGTCAAAGATTCTATGGCTAATATTAAAAGAGGGAATCCTGAACTTCTTGAAAAGGGCAGAGTCAAAATTGTCTGTAAGTGTTTCATTTTCTTGCATGAGTGTGGCTGTAGAAAAATGTGTCCAAATCCACAGTTGCTGACGGCTGCATGTCACTCCATTTGAAAATTGCATTTATTCCATTTACTGCAGCTGGTGATGGGCGCAAAGGTTATGAACCTGGGCAACCCTACGATGCAATACATGTGGGAGCAGCTGCAGCAGAATTACCATCTGCTGTGAGTAGAAGATAAACTTAAATCTTAAATTTAACATGAACCCCTCTTTGGTAAATGTGGATATGTGATTTGTAAACCCCATTTACAGTAGTTTCCTTGACCCTTTAACTCCCTTTGTGACCAAGACAGAATTTTTCTTTGCAATATCAATACAATATCAAGCAGACAACTAACACACAGCATTACACAGCATTCTTTGAAATAAAATAACTTTTAGTGAATGATATTCATTTATTTTCATATGTACGTACATTTTTTTACCCCAAGCTTCTAGAGCAGCTTAAACCAGGAGGTCGTCTTATTTGTCCTGTGGGAGCAGAAGGGCGGAATCAGGTTCTTGAACAGCATGATAAACTTGAGGATGGCCAAATTATGAAGAAGAATCTGATGGGTGTCATCTATGTCCCACTCTGTGATAAAAAACACCAGTGGCCAGGTTGTAAGTTGTCTTAAAATTTTATGGCTGTTTCTTAAACTATTTGATTTTTGTTCAAAGTGGATTGAATATGTCCTTTTGTGTGTATGTGTTCCAATGGACCTACAATCTTAAGATAAATTGAAAGAAATTACTGTTTTCAGTCACTGAGTTGAAGGGGAGTCAGCTGGCATAGATTTGCGAACTGCGTATGCATTTTGACATCCTTGATAGAAAACTAGTGACTTCTGGCTGAAAGGGCCTTAGCCTGTGTTGGTTTGTCAATCAAATATGAAAGTGTATACAGGCAACACTGGGTTACATGAGAGCTGTTTATTCCAGCACAGTTTATTATGATCTCTCAATTTGCTCTTCTCTTTTTCTATTTTTAGAATTCTAAATAAAAGAAATAGGCTACAAGTGGATTTTGAAGAAAGCCAATAGCATATTTCAGGCTTTAATGCTAGTTTTGTCTGTAACTTGTTACTATTCAAGCATTGTTATCAGCGACATGAAATCTTAAACAGAAGCTCTCTTCAGTGAAAAGTTCCGCATACTTTAGTATGAAAGGTGAAAAGGAAGAATGAACAATTTCTTTTGGTGGTTTAAGCGGAGGATCTTTTAAATAGAACCATACTAAAAAATGGATTTTTATCACTAAGATATTTGTTATTTGTCTAGTTGTCAAGAAGTAGGTAGACATTATCATTAAAAGTTCAACAGTTCAAAATCATTAAGAGTTCAACAGCTTACACTGGTGTACACGCGTTTGAGGGATCATTGTTCATACCTTCATCTGCCAACTGAGGCTAACTTCCCCCTCTAATGTCCAAAGTTGAACCCCATACAGAGTGCTTATTGTGGTTGATAGTCATGCACTGAAGATCGTTGACTTTGCAGCCGAAGTCACGAAACCAAAACACAGGTCTTGCGATCGATCAAACATATCAGATGGAATATCACACCCTTAATGGTTTCAAAAAAAGAACAGCAGACCTTAGAAATAATGTATGAACAGAACAAAAAGGTCATATTCAAGACAGCCGTTCTGCTTCTTCGCATAATGATGAAATTAACAAATAGATTCCATGTTGCTATGCGTATGCGCAGTAATAAATAACAAACGATGTCAAAATGTGGTTAGACCAATTATTATTTATTATTAAAGAAGGAAAATCTTGTTGATGGTGACGTGATCTATGCGTCCGTCCTCCTAGAGATCATGAGAAAGAACCAATCAAAATTGTTCGGCGGACCTGAAGCTCTGCCTCTGTTTTTATGTATGCCCCTACCTGCCAGCCAAACGTCCAAAAAGAAGCTCCACCACGTTGGTCGATTTGTGAACGGGCAAGAGATGGTTGTATGCCTCTAATGCGTCAGCATGGCTTTTCGTAGCCAAACGCATGAGATGCAAATCGTTTCCTTAACTCGTCGGCGATAAACCGTGCATGAAAGGAAACGGAATTGTAGCAAATGGAACGTCAACGACACCTCATTCCTCAGTGCCTATTCTTCCAACGGAAATAACCCCAGTTAAGAAATGTGAGAGGATGACGGGTGGCTGTTCTTTCAACGAATAAAACCGCAGAAAAGAAATGTGAAAGGTTAGAAAATACCTCTGTGTGAAGATGTTGGCTACAACTTCACTTACATGTCAAACATGACGTAAAAAGAGGCAGTGCTTGAAGCTTATCAATTCCTTCCGCCCATCAGCAACCAGTGCTCCCCAGTCCTGAGGCTCTTTCTCTGCTCCATTTGTGCTCCCACCTGTCAACCAAATGTCACGGACCAAATTTCTCCTTGCCACTCCCTTTTTACTCAAGGGAAAAGGGGCTGTGCCCCTGTTATGTGCCAGTATGGCTTTCGATGGCCCAAAACGATGAGATGCAGACATTTTCCCAAAGCTAACGGCAACAGACTACGCGTAGATCGGAACGCAATGGTACGTAATAGTGCATCGATAATAACTCTGCAGCAAAAAATTTCCAAACGCACCAACCTCGCGGGAAAATTGTGAAGAATGGTATTTCATCTTGCTATCACTTCCAGTTTTGGAGGTTGAGTTACAGTCAAAAGTCATCTTCCAATGTTGCTATGCGCGGTCATATCTATAATAGCGCATGTTTCTTTTTGAAATATTTTTGATTGGCATCTTTGAGAAAGTAGTTAGCATAATGAATAGTGTAATTTTATGAAGTAGAGTCATGTATTGCGAAAATTTCTTCGTGAGCAGTCATAAGTATTCATCGGTAGTCGACGTAAGTATTAATTGGTAGTCGAAGTATTGTAAACGTATTGAAAGCAAAAGATTTAATTGTAAGTAATAGTAGTTATAGGCTGTCCACATGATTGTATTTGTAACATACAGTCAGTAGTTGTATTATTCTTGTGTTTTCTAAGTAAAAATTGTAATAATTAAAGAGATTCCATGTTTCCAAGGGTCTGTCTAATAATAAGTCACATATGACGTCAAAATGTGGTGAGAACAAAACAGTGGCTAACAGTGGCACACGAGGCACAGCTGAGTGCGTCGCTTCCACAGATCAAACGCATATGGAACACAAAGAGATATCTTCGTCAAACACAATATTGCCGATCAGATTAACAAAAAAATCACGTTTTACTGAACTTGCGGGTGAATGGTGAATCGACTATTGCAGATAAACTGACAGTAAACTAACTCCTTTGAAAAAGACTTACCACCCAGATTTTTCTACCAAACCAAAACTAATTAAAAGGTGAGGTCAATGTGTTTATTTTCCTTGTCTTCCCCTGCAATTCCGATATTCAAATGATCCTTTACTCAATAATTTACGCGAAAAATTTTCGAAAGAGGAGCATCCGGGAAATTTGTTATTATCTTGTAAAATATATAGAGAAAGGGCGGGATTTAGAGCGTATAAATTTGTTATTATCTTGTAAAATATATAGAGAAAGGGCGGGATTTAGAGCGTATTTGTTTTCATTTGGCTTCAATCTTTCATTGAAGTGCTATCAAATTAATAGAATGAGAAATGGGATTAACTTTTGTGCTCGGTAATGAATGAGAGAAATGTTTTTGGTCACGTCACGAGCATGGGACACAGGAAAATTTACGAGCCCCTCTTGAGGAATGGAACTTCAGACCTCTTTGCTCTAGCACTAAGCCACTAGCTCACCATAACGAGTTTCGAAGGATTCACATAGAGGTACGCAATAAGAATCCGCAAATTCATTTTAAACAACTGCAGAAAGTGCACGAGAGAGCGTAACCACAGCTTTTACTTGTAAATTTGATATACATGTGAAATACACGAGAAAAGCG